CCAAAAGCTACAACTCTTTTTGCATAGGTTCTGCTTTACCTTGGTCTTGGCCATCCAACAGAAAAGTATAAAAACGAAATGTAAGAAGTAAGCCGTGCTGTTATGTTGAGCTGTAGGGGACTCAGGTCAACAATTTCTGACATTGCCAGTCAAGTGGAAGACCCAATACTATTATGGATACTGGACTCTTTTAGAATATTTTGCTGAGTTTACACACCTATAATATTCAAATAATGGAACTCAATAAAAAAGGGGTATACAGATGTATGTCCATTTTGTATCTGTGTATTCAAAGTGGTTAGGATAGATATATAGTTACATTCTCTTAATGAATAGAGTGATTTGTCCTAATGATGCTTATAAATAGGATATCATGTCCACATCTTTACAGCAATTAACCACTAGGAAGAATATATGCAATGTGTTAATCATTGAAACTGTCCTACCAATTTGATTTGAAACTGTCTCATTGCCATTTGTTTATCAATAAAATTATGGAAAAAAAAACCCTAAAGGTCAACCATTAAAAAAGTAAAATGAAAATAAAGCTACCTGCCATGAGCAATTTACAAGCATCAATCCAAGAATTAAAGTAAAAGAAAAATGGAAAATGAGAAGACACTTGAACAGAATGCAAACCCTTGACTTCTAGCTCACCAAAGGGAAATGCGGGAGGCAATGAAGTGAAAGAATTTGAAAGCCATCCACCTGGAGTCTGGACTCTGAAGTGGTAATAGCAGAAGTGTCAAAATAGATGAAAGGGACCCCAGAAAAAGCCAAATCAGAAGTAATTTCTCAGGTTACTACAGAAATGGTAGTAATTAGAAATGTTAGTAAACTGTAGTCCATTTTTCCATTTTCTCTTTTAATCCCTTTTCTCTTCCTTTTCTTCCTCCCTCATTTCCTTTTCCATTTGAATGTGTCATTCCTACTTCTCGATATCTATGCTGTTTTGTTCATTCACTCACACAAAAGAACAAAGTGATATTTATTAAAAAAAAGAAAATCTCTCATCTTTAGCATGTACCTTATATTTAATTCTTTTATAGTTCATAAAACACTCAGAAGAATATAATAGAATCTACAGAAGCTTAAGCTCTAATTATTCCTAATTTAGTTTTACATACTGTTATTAATTTAAAGTAACTCACCCTGGTGCATAATTGCATATAAATATTGCGGCACGTTGAATACTTCCAACTGTTGGACATGCAGTCACAGCGCAACCAACTTTGTAAGAGCTGTCCCAAACAAGCTAAAATACAGCGTTCGAAAAATACAAAATTTAATTCTAAACATTATGCTCTCATTTTATAAACTGTAATATCCATTCATGCAAAATCTTTAATGAGCAATTCAAGGAAAATAAATTGCAGTTTTTATGCAAAGGTAAAATTATGGTTTAGGAGAACACTTCCAAAACCCTTTCTAGAAAAATACTTTAATAGGTTCTGTCAATCCTGTACTGGGACAAAAATGGCTTGAGAACACTAATCTAGAATAATGCTTCAGAGCCAAAGTCACGTCTTCTGTGTTAATTTTCAACCCCAGACTGGATTGTAGTTCTAGGTCACTGGGAAAGGTGAGGAAAAATTGGAGAGAGAAAAGGTTTTGCAAAACTGAAGTTGTAAATAGAAGAGAGAAAAAGACCATAGAATTATAAAAGGGAAGCAGAGGAGACACAGGAGAAATTAAATGGCATCAGTATTTTTCCTTCTTTTGGTTGATGAAATTACAGGATAAAAACATACAAGGCTGAACTGTGGAGATAGCATGGCAGTCTAGGCACCTGTCCAGTAAGTGCAAGGTACTGAGTTCAATGCCCGGTACTGCATGCCCTGCCATCCCAGGAACAGGGTGCCTGGCCCCACCCCAAAACCGGATGCTGGGCTCACCCCAAAACCGGGTATGGTGGCACATGCCTGTAATCCTAGCACTGAGGAGGCCAAGACAGGAGGCTCAATATCAGTCCAAACAGTATAGTGAG